TTAATAAAGTGAAGAAGACATATGTGATGGGCTGTTACATTAATCACAGAACATTCTTCAGGTTTATCTTTTAAGTACTAGCATCTTTTTCTTCTCAGTCATTTCATAATTCTTGTAAATTTTTAAAGAGTACTAATACTTTAAACAACTCAAGTTTATTCTAGATCTGTTCTAACTATTGTATAGAACAACTCCTAGCATACTTACTCTGGTTGGGGATTTCCAGCAGCGAGACACACCAACTTAGCAGAACTGTAAAGTGCAAGTGACACTTGTGGATAAGGTTCTACTTTTCTAATCTCTGGTTTATCTAAATCAATAATAATAATAAGTACGGCTTGTTACAAATCGATTTCTGTACATTTATTATAAACACTATCACCACACATTCCTGTTTGCCTTTTAAGTTTCTTACAGGATTAAAAACTGGTTTGTATTAAATCATTTAATTTTAGGTTCTGGTGATCAATTTTGAATATATATATATATATATATATATGTAGAAAGCTAGAATAATTAGAACTTAAACTTTCATATTTTTAATACTTGCAGGAATGACCCTTACAAAAAAAAAAATTGGACAGACAGACACAAGTTGCTGATGACAACACACTAGGTCTCAAATATTCAGGCCCGGCATGGCCTGGTAGTTAGGGCACTTGACTCGCAATCTGCAGGTTGTGGGTTCAAATCCTTGTCACTGAACATGCTCACTCTTTCAGCCATGGGAGCATTATAATGTGATAGTCAATCCCACTATTCATTGATAAAAGAGTAGACCAAGAGTTGGTGGTAGGTGGTGTTAACTAGCTGCCCTCTCTCTAGCCTATCACTGCTAAATTAAGGATGGATAGCACAGATAGCCCTCGTGTAGCTGTGTGTGAAGTTCAAAACAAATCAAACCAAACATAAATTTCTTTTTAAAAAAGATTTTCATTTGTATTTTAAAATACATCTTTATTTTTGAAAAATCTTAAAACAGAATTGTATACATGCAATATTAAAAATACCTTTACTCCTTTCTGAAACTATATAATTTTACATTACGCATGTTGATCTATAGTGTATGAATGTTCTTACATCAAAAGGCTTGGTTTAAAAGCACCTGTTACAATAGCTAAACGTGTTGTGAATGAAATCCGAGTCTGAACACGACTGATTTCAGCCTGCACTATACTTTGTATTCTTTCCTGATGTTGTTTAAAATGTGTAAAAAGTAAGGTTATATGCACAGTATTAGGTAAAGTGTTCAGTGTAGTAAACCAATTATTTTTATTGACTCACATCAGTCAACTAATAAACTTAATACAAGTCCCTTCTAGAAGCTAGTTTGATAAGCAAAAATATATAACAAAGTAGGATTGTGGACACTAAGTTTGGTTCACTTGAAAGTAAGTACCAATATGTAACAACGTAGGATTGTGGACACTAAGTTTTGGTCCACTTGAAAGTAAGTACCAATATGTAACAATGTAGGATTGTGGACACTAGGTTTTGTCCACTTGAAAGTAAGTACCAATATGTAATAAAGTAGGATTGTGGACACTAAGTTTTGGTCCACTTGAAAGTAAGTACCAATATGTAACAAAGTAGGATTGTGGACACTAAGTTTGGTCCACTTGAAAGTAAGTACCAATATGTAACAAAGTAGGATTGTGGACACTAAGTTTGGTTCACTTGAAAGTAAGTACCAATATGTAACAAAGTAGGATTGTGGACACTAAGTTTGGTCCACTTGAAAGTAAGTACCAATATGTAACAATGTAGGATTGTGGACACTAAGTTTTGGTCCACTTGAAAGTAAGTACCAATATATAACAAAGTAGGATTGTGGACACTAAGTTTGGTTCACTTGAAAGTAAGTACCAATATGTAACAACGTAGGATTGTGGACACTAAGTTTTGGTCCACTTGAAAGTAAGTACCAATATGTAACAAAGTAGGATTGTGGACACTAAGTTTGGTCCACTTGAAAGTAAGTACCAATATGTAACAAAGTAGGATTGTGGACACTAAGTTTGGTCCACTTGAAAGTTAGAACCAATATGTAACAAAGTAGGATTGTGGACACTAAGTTTTGGTCCACTTGAAAGTAAGTACCAATATGTAATAAAGTAGGATTGTGGACACTAAGTTTTGGTCCACTTGAAAGTAAGTACCAATATGTAACAAAGTAGGATTGTGGACACTAAGTTTGGTCCACTTGAAAGTAAGTACCAATATGTAACAAAGTAGGATTGTGGACACTAAGTTTGGTCCACTTGAAAGTTAGTTACTTTCAAGTGGACCAAACTTAGTGTCCACAATCCTACTTTGTTACATATTGGTACTTACTTTCAAGTGGACCAAACTTAGTGTCCACAATCCTACATTGTTACATATTGGTACTTACTTTCAAGTGGACCAAACTTAGTGTCCACAATCCTACTTTGTTACATATTGGTTCTGATATGTTTTATGTACAAAGTTTGTTATCAACATAACTACTTTAAAAGTTTCACTAATTCATTAGTTCAAACCTCTTTGAGAACTAATAAATAACTAATTTGTTTAATGAAAAACCTGTCAAAAGTACAAAAGGTTCTTGTTATGCTCTCAGTGTCACTTAAATTTCTATTTAACATCAAACTTATAGATATAAATATACAGTAAGCCATCACATGAAAAAAAGTTCGAATCTCCTATTTGTGAAATTTGTTCTAAATGAAATTAAATAATTGTACAGTGCTGCATCCCGAAGATAGGTTTACGCAGAAAACATTGAAATACATAACCAATGCAACTATTTGAGTTTGTTATCTAAGAACGACTCTTCTGCTTGTATGAAACTAGTTGTAGGATATAATTAAATGAATGAGGAAATATTATCCATAATATCTGGTCAAAAGTAAGCAAGTCAGATCTAAAGAGTAACTTATATATTAATAAAGCTAATTTTGTTTAATAACCTGACTTGAAGTATATGATATTATAAATAAACTAAGACCAATAATGATTAGAATGCATTAATTGATCAGTTGTACACCCAATATCTTACGAGATTTAGCCAAATGTAGAGACTTACTAAGCTAACAAAGCCAAAAAAAACTTCATTTGTGTAAAAACTAATAATCATATTCAAAATCTACAAAGTTTAAAAGATTTTTTTACAAGATCCTTTTACAAAATCAATCTATTAATTTATTACTGTGTTAAAAAGCAGCAACATGACATTCCTAAAAATAGGGATAACAATGACTGCATAACAAAAATCAATACTAAAATTTAACCTACATTTTACATCAAGTGAAATTTCTAATTCTTTGCTCTTTCCAATATCATTTCTCCCTCTGCAACTGTAAATTCCTGAATCATTTCTTCTAACAGATGAAAATGTCAGTTCTTCCTTGATACTATAGACACTAGCCTGACCCGATACTTTCCAGATAATGCTCGCCTTTGGGTTTGCATCTGCTACACACTTGAGAGTGAGTGACCTGCCTTCCTCAATTTCTTCTTTAGGGTTTCCCTCTAATCTGATTTCTGGAGGATCTGTTTTAACAATTGAAAACAAATGAGATATTTGTTTTATAGATGGAGGTGTTGAATTGTAATGGGAAAGAACAGAAATGTAAGTAATGTATTATTCTCTTAAACTTTGTATAAGGCATACAACAAAAAGAACCTAGATTTGTAATTTTTTACATGAATAAAGGTTAACATTTTCCTAAACTAAAAATATTTTTCCAATAGGGACTTATCCCCCTCTCACAAAATAGCTTTTCTTGATTAAATGCTGCCCTCTGTTGGTGCACATTTTCAATGATCTCTACTAGCCTAGCACCTCCTGCTTCTGTAAATGCATATATAAACGATTATGCAACAGCTCTCCACCAATAGGAGCACAACACAACCCCTATCATAACCAGTGCCCCCTCCACGTTTGCACTCATTAAATCACTTCGAGATTGGTCAGAATACCTACACCACATATCACTGGAAGTAGGAATGCTGTGTGGGAAATATTATTGGAAGTAAGAATCTACCGGAAATACATTTTCAGTTTAGGAAAAGGTTAACTTCCGATACGATATCTTACCTCTGCTCATAAAATAGCACTGGTGAAGGGTCAGTGAAAAAATGACCCTCCCTTTAGGAAGTGCACAGAGAGAGAGAGAGAGAGACCAAGAGGTGTGGAACCTAAGTAGAAAACATCACACCTCAGCAGGAAACCACACCACATCTGATCCAGTTATACTCTTTTATGGCTGTGTCACGAAAATAAAAGGTGGAAAACATGAAGGAATGCCATAATACATATTACCAATCAATGAGACCCCTGGGTGTCGAGTGGCTATAGCGTGACAGACCATAGTGGTAGTTTGACCTCCTCATCCAACACCAGATGGTATCTGGAATGGTACATCAGATCCATGGTAGGTAGAGGATCACCCACCTTGAAATGAGAGTTGGTAGAGAAGACTTGCACGCATTTCCAATCCAACATACACCCGATCCACCACGAACCGACATCCAGCAGATGGTAGAAAGGTGTAAAGCCCCAATGGGATGACATCTCCAGTCCAAAACTTAGTGGTATTGGACATTTTTCATCCAGTCCATGGTAAGAGGAGGGACACCAGCCAGAACCCATGTGAGGACTTATTTAGCTTCACCATCTTAAACAAACATCTGACCCCGACAGGAACCACATCTGGAAAATGGTAGGTAGGAGGAATGTCTCAGGCTGAGGGGCAAGCTGAAATATACATAGTCATGACATGGTGGAGTGCTTCAACCAAAACATGGCCGTTTCTGGAATTGTGCATCAGGTCCGCGGTATGAAAAGCATCACACCATCGACACATGATTCTAATCGTGACTGGGCCATCTCCAACCAACACCAGACCCACCAGGAATGTACATCTGGAGGACAGTAGGAAGGAGGAATACCATGGTGGGAGAAAGCAATCTGTCAGATATATATATAAATACAGTGTACTGATACAACCAACGCCTGACTCACCAGGAATGTACATCTGGAGGACAGGCCTCCATGGTCCACCACCCTAGTGGCTACGAACTGTTAAGTGACAAAGACTTCTATACTCCACTAGAAGAAAGGAGGGAATAAGCGAGTTAAAGAGTCTGGAGGACCGTATCACCGGAGATAGTGCAATGGGTGACCGAGATACCCTATTTTGAAAAGTAGAGTTACCATCTCAATGGAGTCGATCAACCAACACCCAGCAGCATCTAGAATTGAATGTGAGGTCTGCGGTAGGAAGAGCTACAACATAATTGACATTGGGCATGGTCACAGGATTGACAGTGTAGATTTAAGAACAACTATACCTGGTCAAGTACCACTCGCCACACAGTAGGATACACAATACACTAGCAAAAAAAGTTACTGTAAATAATGAAATAATAAAAACATAGTAAAGAAAAACTAAGTCTGTAGTATAAATGAAAACATCGACAAATTTGGGAGCAAAAACAAGCACGTCTGTACAGTATGATTAACGAGTGCAAATGTAAGGTTGTGTTATGCTCGTGTTGTTGGAGAGCTGCTGCATAATGATTTACATGTGGAAATGCAGAAGGTGCAAGGCTAGTGGCGGATGTTGAAATTTTGCGCCAATAGATGGCAGCACTAATCAAGTAAAGCTCTTTTGAGTGGAGGTAACATCGTATGGGAATAATGCTTTTGAAGAATTAAAACTGTTTACTAATGAATCATGATGGTGATTCTTTCTTATGTATGTTTGTATTGTTTTAGTGTTATTTTAATATCATCATACAGACACTGCAACATTCCCTTCAACAACAAATATCACATTTATTATAATGAAGTTTACTCCTGCTACATATTAGTTGATCTCAGTGAAGGTTCAGACAATATCTACAGTTACATAGTTCAAGACAATAAGATGCTACAGCATCACATCTTGCCAATCACAGTTATACCAAATGTGGGAGACAATAAATAAACAATGAAGTAACACCAAAAGAAATAGAAATAAAGGTAAGAGAAGGAGAAACAACAGAAGAAATAACAGCTAAAGTACAGGATGGTGAAAAGTATTACATACCATTTTGAAATATAAGTAAAACATAAAGGGTTCACATGTAAATAGAATTCCAAGAAACTGTAACAGCGGTATTGGTAGAAACAAACATAGTAAATGACAGGCAACATCGTCAGTGGTATTGGTACAAACAAACTTAGTAAATGACAGGCAAAGTCGTCAGTGGTATTGGTAGAAATAAACTCAGTAAATGACAGGCAACGTCGTCAGT